TTATGTGTCCATTGAWTTATTTGAATAGGCAGATGAGTAATTTGTACACACTGCTGCCTGTATTAGTGTTACCCCAGTCAATAATTTTACATCCAGATGTTTTTAATTTTAGTCTAACGTGGGGGAAAAAATACTACTCCGTTATCTTTTAACCAAGTTGCTTTTTATGACAACAGTTATTGCACTTCAGTCCTCAACTCATTCCAATAATCCCCACGCTCAACATTTTCTATTGCCTGYCCATACCCTCAGAGCTGCAAAGCCAATTGGAAACAGAAGGCACAGGCCTGTAGGTAGAAGTCTGATTATATAAGTCAAGGGATAAGTGCATTGAAGTGTTGTAGCTGTATATTTTTAGTATCCTATCAGATGCACTCCATTCTGCAAACTATTTGGATAAAAGGGCTAAAATTTCCATAATAACTTTCCATACTTTTAAGATACTTGTTGCATTGGAGAGCAAAGCATGAAATYAAACCCAAATAATATAAAATAAAATAAAAACACCCACAAGATCTCCTGCAGCAGCGTTTGCTATACATGCTTTCACATCTTGGTGGATCAGCCAGCCTGCAAGTCCACAAAAGCACGTGGAGCACTTCCCACTCATCACAGGCCGACCCTCGCCACACTCATAGAATCACCATGTATTTAAAACCAYGTTTATCTGGGCAGTAAGGAACTTACCTAGAGCTTCTGAGACTTGAAAACTGAGCTCCAAAAGGAAAACAATATATACGACCCTACTGCTTTGTTCTGTGATACCTTTCGCCTTAACACCGCTTGCTGTTAAATAAAAACTGCTCTTCAACCTCCAAGCAGCTGAAGTTTCCAAATCTAGGTTTCCAGCTTATTTCTGGATGCTTAAGGCAGAAAAGAAAAGGATGCAGTGCAAGGTATGCACAGCATATCCTCTCGCTCCTACTTGCCACTCATTTCAGCTTCAGTCGGGGTCTCCTGGCCCAGCACTGCCAGAGCTTGAAACAGGGACCATCTTGTTTTTTTTCTTTTTTTAAAACTTATTCTTCAATATATTACACAAATGGTGCTTCACACCTAAGTAGGTCTCAGATAAACAACATGCTCCAGTGAAGTGTTGGATTTTACTTTTCCTCACACCCTGTGTCGACCAGAAACGCTTCCGTTTCCACAGAACCATTCCCAAATGCCTTAAACACCTACCTGAAATTTCTCATTATCTCCTTTGATCTTGCTGGGTGCCTTCTTCCCCAAGCATGACATGAAAACAACATTCCCGTATTCTTTTACATTTGAAATCGGCTATATTTCAAAGTTCTGATGTCCTAAGGACAACTTTATATCATCTCCTGCGAAATATATCTGCTCAACAGATGTGAAACAGATCTTTTGTTTTTCTAGCCAGTTTAAAGCCAGCTACATAAGAACTGAACTGGGTGGTGTTTTACAATGGTGCTCAGATATCTTTCCACAAAGTGTTTAAAAGCCAACACCGTATTTCCAACCTTCTGTTTTGGGACAATCCTGAAAGTTGGGCACTCCACAGCAGTGGCTTCAGTGCCTGCTGCAGCCAGAGAGACAACAGACAGGAACAAAATCCACACAGGTGGGTGGTTTTTATCTGTAGCTCATCCCTGCAGCTATTTTGATGATTTTCTAAGTAAGTAGATTCTCTTACCATTGCTAAGATGCACCCAGCAGCCCCAAGCAGAGTGGGAAATACAAATCCTGCACTGCTGGGAAGGGAGACAGCAAAGGATTCTTCTCATTTATCACTGATTAACTCCAGTTTATTCTTCCGGTAAGTGCATGTCCCTGTGCCTCTCATGTCTAGATATTCTGTGTGATGAAACTTCAGCACCATCTCATTTCTACTCCGTGATACTTGCAAAGAATCAGAGAAAATTTATGGTGGGCCCCAGAGCTTCAGTGCAGCAACATTCATTTACATAGGACTGGCTAGAGTTATTCCTCAGGTGTGAAAGCTCCATTGAAATAAAACAGACAGAGCAACAAAGGTATAACTGACAGCCCGTCGTATTGACCRAGGTGCTTTTTTGATTCAGCTCTATAAATATTTACTCAGCACAACCCTTCAGAAGATTAGCTGAGAATGTAGTTCAGGTGCAAATCCTGGTTTTGTGATGATGTTAAAGGAATATTCCCAGCACAGCTCATATCCAAGCAGGAAGTGCAGGTAAGCACTAAGCTTATGCCCAGCTTTGGGAAACCATCAGGAAGCGGCTGCAGGCACAACCAGCAGTGCTCTGCTGCTGGGCAGCCAACCACCACTCGCACGAGTTGCAGCATTTGCTCCCTTGTGGAGCTTCCCCATTCCATAAGCCTCGCTCCATACCAAAAACTGATCAGCACCCCAGGGCCTCACGGCAGACACACAGAATAACTCTGCTTTCTTTGTGTAAAGCTAAAAAGGGAATTGGGGACCTCTTCCCCCTCTCCCCCACGCCTCCAGGATACTGAAACCTGGTGTCTCTTCAGCTTCCAGATCAATTTAGCCAGTTTTCTGTAGTTTTGCAGAGGAAAAACTCCTTAGGCCACTATTGAAACAAAGTGACCATGGAAGCTGAGAACAAGTTGGGCTCTGCTGTGTTCATTAGTGCCAGTCTAAAAGACTGCTCCTTGTGGTTACTGCATCCCTCGAAGTTTTCAACTTGTTCCCACCTGCCCTGAGCCAACCATCCCCTCCTGCCAGGTCCTGGGCTGCACAGGGGGGACACAGAGGGTCACTCACAATGGAGGGTCGCAGCTAATCCCTACTGCCTGCAGAGCTTCAGAATTAATGAAAAGGACTTATTTAATTATACGCTGATTTATGGAGGTAAAACAACATAAGGCTCCTTTGCATCAGGACAGTGTGCAGAAAGAGCCCAGCACAGAGTAACACAGCCAAGAGAAAAGAAGAGAGAAAATCTGACCTCACCTTCTCTGTTTGTGCATCACCTAGTGACATGTGACTACAACAAGGGATGATYAAACTACACGGGGCTGAAGGTACCAGATTTCTTCACCGCTCTTCAGTTCCTTCCACGACAATRGGAGGGTGCAATTTTGCCATACAATATTTGATATAGAGCTATGGGCTGCAAGTACATTCAATGAAGCAAGGCCACACTATGCAATAACATATGAGAAGCAGGGCTTCCAAACCTCATGTTCAAAGGGAAAAGGAATCCAAAAAGGAAAAGAGGAACATGGCAACCATGAAGGGGCTAACCATCTTTTAAACAATTGGGAAAAAAATAAAACCATATGAATTCCCATGCTCAATAAGAAGCCCATGGACAAGACCCTTCTACATTATTTATATTCCTCTTTCACAATAGGGAACACTATTGTCATTTCCAACAACACTTAAAAACCTTTCCTGCAAACATAAATTACGACAAACTAAAATCAAGTTAAGGGACTGTTTCAGAAAGTCAAATATGAAACCAATCTTCATTATCACCATAAGTGTGATTGAATTTGCTTCAGAGCTATGAAAGCAACTTCTATACTAGGATAAATAAATGTGAAGTGTTAGGAACATGGATTTTAAGCTTGTCCAAAATAACCCAGCTGAAGAGTTAGAACACAACAGAGATTTGCTTTACAATAAAGGAGGGGATACATAAAATATAAAGAAGGCAACTCTATGTTTTGCTGTGCAAATGTAGAATTACTGCATGATGCTGCCAACCGCCGCTGCAAAACCTTGCTGTTATTTTAGTGGCAGAGTTGCCTCTTCTGCAGTAAATGACTAATCTGTATCGGGAATTATAACCTCCCAAACTGCAGCTAATTCAGAAATAGTTAACAGGAAAAAAAATGGAGCATATTAGTGGCGAATATCTATTCTCTGAGAGCCTAACACCATGCATAAAAGATGATGAGACCCTGAGGGAGTCAGGTATACACACTCTGACCATGGTATGATTTACTGAATATTAAAATATTTCCTACTCACTATTTTCTCCTATAATCTACAGTAATTGCCTGGCTAATTRTAAGTGTTCTAATTTTCTTACCAGCCTCCTTCATGTCTGTATAATAGTAATAAAAATAGAAAAATATGTACATATATATAAGCAYATATAAATCAAACTGAGGAACAATGCAGAATTTGCTGTCCTATTTGCTAGCTCACATGACCGATCTACTGAGTCCAATTTACTGAGGTTTTCCAAATGGCAAAGCACATTTAAATACTGCTTCCTGGCTTTCCTAAGTTCAGACTATATCCTGAAGCATAGGATTACATTCCCAGCTAAGCAGACAGAAACACAGCATTCATAACGTTATCTGGCCTCCTTTAAAATCCAGTTTCACTATTTAACATCTTCAGGCAATGACTTTTTACAAAATACTAGAAATATTTTAGATGTGAAGTTCATCAGGATACTCAATTTATCTCATTTACTAAACTCCCCAGTATTGTASAGCAATAAAACAGATTACAAAAGGGCAKCRGGAAAAAAAATCTCCCTTTTTTTTCTTTTTTAAATACAAGAGCAAATAATTACAGTTTCTGCTAAGCCACAGTATTTTTAACTGGAAAGTAACAGTAGTAATATTTTTCCCTTACTAAATTGCCTTGTGAGTTCTTCCCAATTCTATTAAATGCCCATTCAATTTAAGTTTATTCCCACATTCAAATATTATATATAAAAGCTTTATTTAGATTGGAAATGTTTCCATGATTAAAAAGAAGCTTTCAGTAAGAATACTTGTATTGAAATGACACTCATCTCTGATACATCTCTCATTTTTTACTGTACTGAAAGGTGAAGGTGAAGCTGCTCTGCAACAGTTTTCCTTTTGCAAACACTAAAGATTCAAGTAAACTGAATCTTTACTAAATTGAATCTAATGTAATTTGGAAAGGGGAACACAGTTCTAAGTTGTTAAAAGTGAAACATGGGTCTCAGTTCCTTTAGGACAACCCACGTGGAGATTTTCCTGCTRTGTAGGATGAGCAGAGAAGAAGCGTTGCCAAAGCCCATGCAGGCAGCTACTCTTACCTCAATAATATACAAAACCACATTCTTGTAGAAGCAATAGAGTATGCATTTCGTAACTCGGTTGTAACTCCAAGCTCCATGGACCAACAACAGCTTTTCCAAGTAGGAAAACTGAAAGAAAAAATAAAAACAAGTTGTTTATAAGCGTAGAAATGGATTTTTTTAATGTAACAAATAGGCCAAACATGAGATGAGCTATGAAAGCTGCTCTTCAAAAGTAGTAAATTGCTCAGCAGTGTGCAAATGCAAAAATACAAAAACGTTATTTTCTTTGCATGTTTCTGCCATTTCAAGCTGGTGAAGGCCACTTAAGAGACTAAGTTTTCAATTATTATTACTATCCTGACAGAGAAAGGAGRCAAGGTTAACATAATACAGTCTTCTGGATTAAATATGAAAGTGAACTCTTCATTTCAGGGCCAAACAAGATGAGTATGTCTGAGAGCCCAAGACATGAGGCTTTCCCTTAATTTTCAAATTGCTTTTTTAATTCACAGAACTGTCTCGAGCTGAAAGGAAGCGCCCAAGCGAGGGGACACTCAAGTGAGAAAAGGCCACAAACAGCCTTTTCTGGCACATAAACACTTACATTAACATTTGCACCCAACTGAATATATGATAGCACAAGTGTTATGCACAGTACCTAGAAACTCTAAAGAAATGTCAAAAAATGCCAAATAAATAAATCTGCAATACTTACAAAAATTGCTACCTTATAATTCTCACTTAAACCAGAGATACAGCTCAGTCCTACTTCATTTTATCCCAGTAGAGTTTTGCAAGGGGATTCAACAGCCCTCCTAGCAGCCCTCTTGCAGGGCAGCCCAGGAAATGCATCATTTTCTAGCACTGCCTCTGTCAGGGAGCCCCTTTACAGCCCACAACATTCCCGCTCGGTCCAGTTGCAGACAGCTCAAACTGGGGCTTAGATTTACTGCCTGGCCTGGCCATTCCTGAAGGGCTCTTGGACGAGACTATTATTTGCTTTGCTGCTGTTTGCATGAAGCAACTTGCTGGGAAAAYGCGGCTTCTGAATTTAGATTCCATCTTGGTTATTTTAGCCAAATATTATTTGAAACTCTTGGAAGCACAAATCGTGCAAGAAAGGGATTTCTGACATGCCTCGGCAGCTCGGATGTGTCGGGATATGGCGGTGAGGAAGAGCAAGGGAAAACAGAAGTGAAGGAAGCTTCACGGCTCCGCGTGTGCCTGGCTTGGGGCAGGACTGAGCGGGGGACACTCACAAGGGGGCAGTTAGACCAGCAGGCACCTGGTGCCCCCTCCGTTAAGTGCATGGCACAAACCAGAGCTTTTCTCCCGAAAATTCACTGATGACTTACACAAAAGCTTTTGCACTTGTGCCAGTTATTCAGCACAAACTCAGTGCACGTTTCCTTTTTGAGTTCTGTTTTATTCTTTGATTCCCACTGGAATCCTTAATGCGTCCTGGAATCCTATAGGGACTTACTTTTCTGTAAGTGCCTCCTCCTGACGCTGCTGCATGGCAAGTATCATTTGAACCGGGKATGCTAAATTACGTTGGTCATCTTAAATTACTCAATAAGAGCATACTCTTCATGCCTCCTTCAAGGCATGGATATACAGTAACATTTTAGTGGGAGTTGTATGCCCTTACTCAAAGAAACACACACCACAGAGATCAAGTTTTTCTTTTGAACACTTTTTGAACCATATATTGCCATACACTATTAATTTCCTGCAAAGGAGGGGCTCCCTTGTATCTTTTCTAAGTAGTACAAAGATCTGCCGGGAGATCTTTGGGAGAAAGAGAAAAAAATAAGAAAGGGAGAAAAAAATAAGAAAAAGTTCCACGGTGTTTTACTAATTTTTCGAAGTCAGAACCCCATGCTACTTGTCACCAGCTTTTATTTCATATTAAATTAGTATTTCCCCTTACTATTATCAGTAATTCCCAGACTGGAATCTAAAACAAGAGCAACTCGTTTCCCACATTCTAACATAAAATGAAAAAAAACATTTTTTTTCRTTTTTGTTGTTAAATCAAGAGTATCACATGAATGTGAAGGAACTTCCCCAGGTTTAATGCTATTGAAACGAATGCCAGAGAAATTAAACGTGTAGGACCCTCAAAGTATAGAACTCACTGCTTCATCTCTTTACTAAAGTGAAAGTAGTAAGTGATCTGAGGAAGTCTCTAATTAAGGTATATTCAATTCAAGAAGCAACAGGTAGTCTATGGAAGCTAAGGAAAAAGTTATTGTGGAGTTTGTSATCATGGCAGTTCCTATAATGCTATATATCTGGAATATACCAAGGTTTTTGATGAAACAGCCTAAAATCTTCAGCATGTGTTTGGGGAAAGACCCAAGTTCTTCAAGCCTGAAACCCAGTGTGCTGTGTGGTCAGGCAGAGCTGCCAGGTAAGACTGGCACTTAGCTGCACAGCGGGGTTAACACAACRAGCAGCCACCCATCCCAAGAACAGGAGTATTTATGTCTTTTCAAAGCTTCACTCCTCGCAGAAACCACCAAAAAAACATCAATTTGCTTCAGCTGGCATCACCAATCTGCCTGTCTATGCAGAAAGAAACATGAGCTGGCAGCTCACACATCRCAAGGGGCAGGGGACCACGTCTCCATCCTGCCACCTCCCATCTGTTCCTGCCCTGTGATCAAAAACACATGATGGCACCTGAGCTGCAAACAGTATGCAGAGCATGTCCAGCAGCTGAAGCGTTTCCTTTCTTTTTCTGGTCTCTTTTAATGTCTATATTCTGCATGCTGGAACAAAGGAAAAGGGCTCTTGGCTCTTAGCTGAAGTAATCAGTGCTGGGATTTGTTGGGATAGTTCGGGAGCACTCGGCCGACTCACACTCTAAAAGACACACTGGAATGGAAATCTCGGCCAGCTCTTTAGAACTTGATCTAATTCTTGGATATGCAAAGGGAGAAAAGAACAGCTCAGAATAAAACACTCCCAGCAATTCAATGAACTTGTACACACCTGTTGGCAATGCCTGTTCATGGTAGGAGACAAGAGCATGCTCTGAGGGAGATAAATGACACTGAGAAGTGCCTAGACATCAGCCTCACTAAACATGCTGCTTGCTGAAGGGCTGAGATGTTCTACAGCTGCCAGAAGGAACCGAAGCTTTGGAGGGAGCATGAGGCTTTTCCTCAGGGAATACAGACTCAAAAAAAAGCACTCCAAGTGCATTCAAACTATCTGATTTACAGAATCACAGACTGGTTGAGGTTGGAAGGGACCTCTAGAGATCACCCAGTGCAACCCCCTGCTCCAGCAGGGACACCCAGAGCACGGGGCACAGGGTGGCAGCCAGGCGGCTTTGGAAGATCTGCAGAGAAGGAGMCTCCACAGCCTCCCTGGGCAGCCTCTTCCAGGGCTCTGKCACCCTCACAGGAAAGAAGTTCCTCCTCACATGGAGATTTCTTGAGACATATGTCTCAAGAAAGCAGGACAGCTCCTAGTTGAAGGCTGCCCAGCAGCCACACTTCAGTGCCTCTAACCTGTGCGATGGCATAATCCGAGCAATTGGTTGCCTGCATGCCCTCATTCCCACTGATCCCAACGCCAACGTGAGCCGTCTGGATCATTCCCACGTCGTTGGCACCGTCCCCAATGGCGAGTGTTATGGCGTTGACGTGTTTCTTGACCATGTCTACGATTTCAGACTTCTGGAGAGGAGACACTCTGGAAAGGAGAGAGAAACGTGTCACTTATTTCACATGCTGGGAAAACATATATGTTTCTTCAAGAAGGACAGCTGTAATCCAGATTTAGAAATATTAAAAGAGCATTTACTAGAAACATTCAAACCTGTGCCAGACCATTGGTGAAAGAAAGCAGCTTAAAAAAACAAAATAAAATCACATTTTCATAAAATATGAGCATATAATAATAAAATAGAAGATCAAATAGATGTGAAAAGTTTTAAAACCTTCCCCTCCTGTCTGATACACTTTGACATTTACCACTGATGTTACATGGACAGCAGAAAACAGAGTATCCTCTTCAACCACAACCATATACAGCTTAAGGACACAGTCTTCCCTGGCTGCTGCTGCAGCACGTGTCCATCCAGAGCAGGAAAAYCACTAAAAGGTTTGGAGCATAATTCATTTGGAGGCATTCCTGATTTCAGTGGCTTGGCAAAGAGGTTGTGGACTTACCTTCTCCCTCCCTAGGTTTCTGCAGCCCTTCTTTCCACCCTCACACCAGYCTGGGATCACGTGTGCAGCTGGGTTGAGAAGTAAGACATCTAACCTCCCGTTCTCGTTACAGGCTGGAGTATCATCACCAATTTCAACAATATTACTCAAATCCCATAGAAAAACACTGACTATGAACCCCCCCACACATCTGTATTCTTATCTTTTTTTTTCATAGTTATTTTAACCCAATCTTTCGCTCATTTTACACAAGTCTGACATAAATTCATGACATTCAAAAGAGCTGCAGTGTTTTAAACCAAGGAGAAGTGGAAAAATACTCAGGACTAGGGAACCAAATTGGATGAGACACCCCAAATGCCTTTTATTCATGAAAAAGGTGGATCAGGTTTCCAAATCACATGAGGTATTCTGGAAATACCCACAAGTAGATTAAATATTTCCATTCTAAGCCCATCTGTACAAACAACTTTAATTCCTTTCCCCATCAATTTTAGTCAAAGCTCCCAATCATTTTATATTCCCTTAAATAAAGCTTTAGACAAAACTTTTCGACATCTCAAGTCAGCCACATACGTTCAATATAAAAAAAAAAAAACCCATGTAACTGATATCCAAAAGCTTTACTGTTAAAATAGGGAGAAGGCTGGGAAGGGAAGAGGGGGGAAGAGACGGGAGTTTTTTTTTACACAACATTTTTTTCCAGACTCCACATCCTATGGGAGCAACTTTCACAGCTTTTTCATACAGCTGGCCAGATTACTGCTGATCAGAAACCAGCAGGGCTATCTTGCCATGCCTGTTGCTTTATGACCTTGCTCTTGTTCGTGCTGCCCACCTCTTAAGCCCAGACTTGAGAAGCAAGTATGGAAAAGAAGTTCCTAGGATTAAACATTGCTGGGCTCAAAATTCACATGTAAACTAATAAAAAAAAAAAAAGAAAAAAAAAAAGCAGCTGTCCTGTTCCTTAAAGTTGAAAAAAAAAGAAGTTGGCCATAAAATGCACTTAATAGCACTGTACCACTGGGTAGATTTATTTAGCACTCAGCTGGCGGGCAGGGAGGGCAGCAGCACTTTGCACTGCAGGGGCCCAGTGAAGGACCAGCGTAAAGCGCCAGCCTACGAAGGTGGCAGCTGCTCATTATGAGCCAGGTCTAAACACGGCCTGCAAATCCCGTCCTCTCACACGTACCACGTGTAGATACACATATATGTGGGTGTGTTTGTATATAGCTGTGTCTACATGCATATGCACTTGCCACCCCCACACGTCAACTCTACATAATGAAAGACTGAATAACAGAGTACGGAATCAGCACCAGCTTCTAACTTAAGCCACCAAGTCCAGAGAGCCTTGGGGCTTCCTCCGGTGGGACGGGACCCACGAGGGGACAGCCCCACGGGYGCTCGGGGGCGCAGGGACGTGAGCCTGTCGCGGTCGCGCAGGGTGTTCCGCAGTGCTGAGCAGCACGCAGACCTGCTGACTTTCTCCTCCAGCAAAATCATCTCTCAAAAGTCCCGGCGTGCTGGACCGAGCCATCAAGCAAAGGGGAGGTCCTGAAATAATAGCCAGTGTACACGGAGGATGCTTTATTGCCCTGCCCAGATAAAGTTGTCCAGAAATAGCATCCAGGCTGAAGCCTAATATTTACAGCATCACAGAATCACAGCATGGCTGGGGTTGGAAGGGACCTCTAGGGATCATCCAGTGCAACCCCCTGCTCCAGCAGGGACACCCAGAGCACGGGGCACAGGGTGRCAGCCAGGCGGGTCTGGAAGATCTCCAGAGAAGGAGACTCCACAGCCTCCCTGGGCARCCTGTTCCTATATAAATATATATATTTATATTTAAAAAAATAGAAGCTTTTTCCAATATATATACTTTATATAATATATATATTTATACATTTCTAATCAAAAACCCAAAGAAATCACAGAAAAAAAGTCTACTTTTTGAGCATTTGAGCTAATAAAATGAAACCAAAAATAAGATGTCAGCATGAAATGTTACTTCATTATTAGATTATTTATTATAAATGGAAGTTTTATAGCAAGAGCCCTCTTCCTTGCTGCCCTCCCTTCCACGAAGCTCTTTCTCAGACTCCAGAGACCTTTTGCTGCGCACACACACTGTGTGAGCTGGAGAACTTGCAACTTGAGATGGCTTCTGATTTCCTGAGGGGCTTCCCAGACCCGACCTCGCCCCAGCTTCCAAACCTCTTCTGCTCCTTGTGATCTGCTTGGTACCAATGCACYGCACTAGCTGACACGAATCCCCTCAGCAAGCTGACCAGGGCCACAGCTCATTTTCACACAGCTGACAGGCTCCTACGTGAGTATCAGGAAGATCACAGCCCAGGACACTATTGACCTGAAGTCTCCTCCACGTGCTGTCTTGGAAGGGGGTGAGAGGTAGCCAAGTTCACAAAGATGCTTGGACAAATGAGCAGTTCAAAGTAAAAAGCACTTGGAAGGAACAAACTACTTTGGAGAAACATTTTGCAGTGATGTGTAAGTCTTGGCAATTACCATCTGGTGGAACATCCCTGGTGGACCTGAGCTGCAGGGCTCACTGCAGCAGTACGAGGGGGTAAGTCCTGCCCCAAGCAGTGTCCAGGACAAGCTACAAAGCCAGCAACRTGCTGGGTTCATCAAAACCCGTCGCTCGCTCACATGTGGTTGTTCGTCCATCAGCAGCTCACAGAGCTTCTTCACGGGCAACTCAACGGGCTCCCTGGACATACTGATATATCCATTTATACACACAACATTTACACCTCTACTTCTCAAAAATAGTTTTACAAACAGAGACGATGAAGTTAGTCCAGACTGATGCTGTCTTCAAAACATACTGCTGGTTAAAAGAAAAAGAAAAAAAAGTTGCGCTTCATATAACGCTGTTACAGTGATACAGTCACAGGATCAAGATTTGTTATTTCTGCCTAAGCTGTTTCTCTGGGAATCTGGATTTAGGCAATTTAAGCTGCAGAGTGCCTGGGGTCAGGCCCATGCCTTTAGAAAATCTTTTCTTTTGATTCAGTACTTGGCAGTACAAGATAAAAGCAATACGAAACACACGAGGGCAGAGAGAGTCAGTGCCTGCCGAACAGCAGAGCTGCTCCTTACCCCGCTTGGGTGCCTCTCCATGCAGCCTGGCTCCTGGGACAGCAAAACCCGATACCGGAAAATGGAAGGGTCTCAAACCTGCCCAGTCAGCGCCAAAGCTGCTCAGTTTCTTGCTGCATCTTCTCCAGGTCAATGGGAAAGCAATCCCTATTCCGTGCGAGGCCACTGGTGCCCTCAGGCCACATGGGAGGGTGGCAGCAGCCGGGGAAGGGGATGGCACCCGGAGCCCTGCGAGGAAGCAGGAGGGAAGCGCAGCCCGGAGCCAGGGAGCCGCAGAGCAATGGGAGGCCCAACTGCTGGGAACCCCCTTCAATCCCCAAGGAAGCAGTGGCTGCAGGTAACAGGCACCGCTGGATGTTTCCTGCCAGTGAGAGCTTTGCTAACACCTGCCTTGTGCTGAACGACAGCCTGTGAAAAAGGAGCTCGGGACACGGCGAGCAGCAGCACAGCCGGTTCCTGCGGCGGGTGGTGCAGGTGGCTGCCCATGGACCTGTGCAGACCGGAGCCTGGCAGCATTAAACCTTCCCTTGGCGGTTGCTTCTTCAGTCTGGGGACAAATGCTCATCTGGAGACACCTTCGCTGACGCTTGGCCTCTTCAGAAAATAAGTACACAACATTTTGCTGGAAGGTTTGTAACATCCTTCGAAAAGATATTTCAGGCACATGTGAGGACACTTTCAGTCAACTTTTTTTCCCCCTTGAAGTACTTTTAGGACAAAAAAACCCAATTCATCAGTTCCTATCAGTTCAATTACTTTTCACTGCAAAGTTGTCCCTGAAAATAGGGAAGTGGTGACACTTTCAAAACCAAGATTCTGAAATGCTTTACTCAGAAATGCATTTCAGTTTTATCAAGACTAACAATGTTCTTAAAACCTTGAAAAGAAAACACATCATATATAAAAACACTCGTTTTAATAGAGCAAGATACCCTAGAGAGCTTTAACTTCAACTTTTTATGTATTACAGTGGATTTAAATCAGTCAACTGCTTTACTGCATTTTTCCCTTGTGGCAGGGAAGCTTGCTCGTGCCTTCTCTCTCTCTCTCTCCTATTCCCAAACACCACCAAGGTATTTAGGACTGAGGTAGTCACAAATGTGACGGGAAGGACACAGTCAGCACAACCCATCCTGGGTCACATACATCTTGTCACATGGACTATCTTGTTTCCACAAGATAGTGCTGATGGGATGCTAAGAGTAGCATTTCTTACCTTTCTCTCTACACAGGGCTATACATTAAACAGCTACAGACACATACAAAAGCAATTGAGGGTAACTGTAGACAGTACTTCTCCTATGGACCCTAAAACTACAGCTGCATCATGTTGGATGCTTCAAACTGTAGAGACACAAGCGATAAATGTGAAATAAAACGCAGTATTTCAGGAGA